ACGTCCACCGACACGGCTGCTGAGCACTGGGAACTCATCTCTGCAGAAAACGCTGCCCGAGTTTTACTGCAGAGAGAATCCAGATGAAGCAGAGGCAGTGGTAATTGCAACAGAGCTGATACCGCACAAAGATGCATGTGCCTTGAGGGACCTATCCTCCTCCACAGAAATTAACACAGAATCATAAAATCATGGGGTGGTTCAGGCTGGAAGGGACCTCTGGGGGTCACCTGTCCCCACCCTGCTCCAGCTGGGACACCCAGAGCCGGGTGCCCAGGACCCAGCTGGGCGGCTGCTAATGGCCCCAAGGATGGAGACCCCCCCGGCAGGCGGTGTCCCCCCCACGCTGAGGAGCGTGTCCTGGGGGCCAGCTGGTGCCCGTGGCCTCTGGTCCTGTCCCTGGGCACCGCGGGCAGAGCCGGGCTCCCTCCCCGCGGGTGTTTGCAGACACGGAGTCACCCCCTGAGCCTCCCCTGCTCCGGGCTGAGCAGCCCCAGGTCCCTCAGCCTCTCCTCACAGCAGAGCTGCCCCCGTCCTTCCGTGCCCCGGGCCCCTCGCTGGGCTCTCTCCAGTCTGTCCCTGTGCCCCAGCACTGGGGAGCGCTGGGCCCGGCCCTGCCGTGGTGGGGGCAGAGGCGAGCCCCATCCCCTCCCTCAGCCAACGTTCGAGGGCCGGTCGCTGGCTCATGTACACACGAAGGCACACAAAGGAATGATGGGAAGGTAAAGGGACCATGCTGTGTCGAATTTCTTGTGAAGCGGTGGATGATATTTCTATGTTTAAGTGAAAAAGCATCCAGGCTTTTAAACTGACGTGTTTGACCACGTCCATTACACAGAAACAGAAAGCAGGAGCAGGGAGCAGCCGCAGACCCCAGGACAGACAGAGAGGGGGCTGCAAGATGAACACTGCCCACCCCGGCTGCGTGCAGGCTCTTAAGCAGGGATTTATGAGCTTTTAACACTTTATCTGAGAGAGTTCACGATACAAACAGCTTCATTCCAAACAAGGTGTGTAGGGGGATTTGGAATCTGCACACAAAACCAAGTTTCAAGTGCTAGACCAGAGGAATGAAGGTGCTGGGGGCCGGGCAAACCCCTGCTAGGGCTGGATCCTCTGACTGCAGTACAGCATTTACAGCAAAGAGAGATGCAGGGGCAGCAGCACTGCTGGTCTTGCTTCGTTCTTTCATGACTGAAACGGCAGGGCACCGATTACCTGCAGCAGCCTCACACCACAGTGCAAGGATTACAGGCAATCAGAAAAAGAAGACACGACACTCACTGAAATGCTGTGGCCTCACTGCTCTGGGGAAATCTGTTACTCCCAGATGTTCACTGAAAAACAAAGTCCTCAGAAACGTGACTATGGAAATTACTTCATGTTTTGAGCAGCTCTGCTTAACAGAAGTTTGGTTATTACTGCTTAACAGTACAAATGCATATTGGACAAAAATGCAGTGAGGGTCCATGAGTGTTTCAAGTTCAACTTCCCTGAGTTTCAGACCTCACGTCTCTCGCGGCCGCTGTTTCACAACATGCTGAAGTGAAGCTGCACAAACGACCGTGACAGGTGAAGGGAAAAGCTCAGCCCTGAAAGCAGAAGCCAGAGTGAAAACACTGCTCAGCCCGCGTGTTTCAAGGCCTAAATCACCAAACAGTGCAAGCTGGAAGGGACCTGGTGCAACACAGCTCAAGCCCGCTGCTCCAGCGGGGTCAGCTCGAACAGGCCGCCCAGGCCCATGGGTGCCTTTGAGGAGCTCCAGGGAGAAGGACTCCACAACCTCTCTGGGCAACCTGTTCCAGTGCTTGGCCACCCTCACAGTAAAAAAGGGTATTCTTGTGTCAGCTGGAACTGACTGCATTCCAGCGTGCCCGTCGCCTCTCCTGTCGCTGGCACTTGGAGAAGAGCCTGGCTGCCCCCTCTTCGCTCTCTCCCATCAGGTATTCGCAGGCTTTGGCCCTGAGCATGTGCACAGGGACACAGACACTCGCTGAGTTCGTATCGAGTGACCTTTCCAGAACTGGCATAAAGGAGCCTTCTAAAACACTCACATTCCATGTGCCTTCAACCAAAGGACCCCAAAAGGAGCGGAGAAACGTGACTGCCACACTGATACCAAACAGGTAAACAAAGACCTGGATGTCTGTAGGACGTGTCCCGACACATCCTGGAAATCCACGTAAAGGCAGAGGGAAAACACAGTCCAGCAGAGCTGAAGCAGCACACGCCTTCAATGCAACACAGAAAGTAAATCCGACCACAGAAAAGGCAAATTATCATAACTTGGAGCACTAAACTGGGAAATTTAAATCTTTTTAGAAGATCTGATTTAACTGAAAATGGCAGCCAGTCTAGAAGATAGTTGTTTCTGTTGTATTTCATGAATGAGATGACTCACAGCAGCACAAAGAAGGAGCAAGGAAGGCAAAGCACACGAAGCAAGAGCCAGCTTTTAACCTTCTGCAAAATAAAAATGAGAGTTTGTTACCATCACGGCGTGGCAGGAGGTAACCTGTTAAGTATCCATCCCACTCGGTGACCTCGCAACAAGGCCAAAGGCACCAACTCGTACCACTAACTCTGACTTAAAAAACCACCCCGACACCCTCCCCCTAAACACACACACACAAAATCATCTCACACACACACACATCCAGTCAGGCGTCAGCTGGAATTTCACAAACCAACCACTGCAATTAGGAGCCCACTGATTGTCACTTACCTGTGACAGCTCCTCCTGCCTCCAGGTTTGTGCTTACACACAAAATCAAGGCAGGTCTCTGGCGACCACTTTTGCCACTCTAGTGAACAGCAGCTAGACCACGAGATGCCTGTCAATTTATTACAATTAGAAATTAACCTCATGCTATTCCACCCAGCTTACTCAACAGTTTCTCAAGAACAAGCCAAATGTGAAGAATCTTCACTTTATGACAGGCTTTTACACCCCTGGGAGTCTCAGAGACAACACAGACCAGGGTGAGACAATGCCTTTAAAGAAAGGAGTAACCTGCACAGCATTTTGGACTTTCTGAAACATTCTGGGCAAAATAAGTTCCACTCAGAACTATTCATCTGCCAGACCTCACTCCTAAACAGCACCTGTAGTCAGAAACAAACCTCCTCCTCTGCTTGTGAAAGTCTGCCTTAGTTTTGCCAAGTTTCTAAGCAACTGAAAATGTTTGGCTTGGTAGAGGACACGCTCCACTCTTCACACAAAATTGCATGGCTAGAAGCTAAACTATAGAAATTCAAGTTAAATCTTCCTAAATGAATGCCAACATGGGTAAGAAGTTTCCCACTTTTACAATACATTTTTCTATGTCTGCTAATTTCAACTATCTGTTATTTTTCTCTAAACCACACTTGCCTTAGTTAGAAGGAAAAAAAAGAAAAGCCAGACCCAAGACATCCCGGTAACCCCTATTTTATCTCCACGTCACCTACTAAGTGTCTCAGGTGTCTGCTAAGGATGTGAAAAAACAGCATAACAAGTCTTTATATGTCAGGTAACAAAATCCAAGGGAGTGAATTAATGACTAAAACAAGACTAGTTATGAAAGCATGTCACTCACAACCTTTTTAGCTCAATGCTCAAGCGAAACAGGAGCTTTATACCCTATATTTAGTGCTTTCAAGCCCAAATCACTGTTCTAGATCTCTAAGGATTAAACAGTTCCCAGCTCTCACATGAACAGTACTCAGTGATACAACAGTACAGTTAAAACAAGTTCTCAAGAAACCAGCCAAGCGAGCTCAGTATTTCAAGACCATCTGATGCTGTTCCAGCACGAGTGAGACGCCACAGTGACTTCTTCAGCCTGGAGACCACTGGCTGAGGCTCCTCTTGCCTTGCTACAACCCTCCTTCTAGCCCTCCGTTCTGCTCACAGTGACTTGGTTTCTGACAAACACTTGCCAGTTTTAAGCCTGGCTGCCACCCGGCTGGCACCCAGCCCCGCAGCACTCCCGCAGTGCCCCGCCGACATCAGCCTCCCCTCGCCTGCCTAAGAGCCCAGGTTCAGCCTTTTGAGAGAGCCTCTGGCCTGCTGGCGACGCAGAGCAGCCACATCCTCCTCCTGCACGCGCTGAAACGGCAGCACAGAGCCCCTCCGGACAGGCCCTTCCCCTCCCACCGTGTCCAGCTGGCAGCTGGCAGGTTCCCAACGCAGTAGAAACAAACTCTAACCATCGAGAACAACCCTGATGGCAAAAAATAAATCATTATTTTAAACATAAATGCAGCGTTCTATTTAATAAGGTGACAAATTGCAGCACTCAAAGCCTTCTCTAGCCCCCACCAGCCCAGCTCCCTCCTCAGACACAAGCCTCCCCAAAACCAGCGCTTCTCTGGGGAAACACAAAGAGTAAACCTTACGTCACAATCGGGGACCCATTTGGGTGGGATGGCTCTCTGGCCATCGGGAGCCAGACACATTCATCTTAAAAACAAAACATCTAAGGAGTTAAAACTACAAGCAAGCAATTGGATAGCCAAGCACAAAGCAAAGGCTAGTCCAGGTTTGGTGCCCAGCCAAGTCTAGCAGAGCAGCAGCAGGAAAGAGCCTAATGGATGTGGAAAGTTCAGCTGGGAAGAGCTCAGGACAAGGCACCCGCTTGGCTTGACATGCAGGAGCCGGCATGCACGAGGGGCCAGGGCTAGCACGGAGCAGGAGAGGAGCAAAACTACCAACCAGGAGACTTGACAAAGGGCAGCGCTCCCTCTCTGTAAGGCTTTGGCCGAGAGCACGAGGACAGTTTGCATCCCAGCACAGAACACAGGTTGCAAAGGGGGATGCGCCTAAGCCGAACAGTTTTACGTACCAGCCTTATAGCAAGGGAACACCTCAGAAATGAGTTAGTGTGTATGGCTGTGTGTGCTACGAGTATAGATACACACACACGTATATATATAAATATATATACACACACAAATAAAGTAATGTACATTACATAGATAGTGGTAGTCACATCACAGGAGCGGAGAAGTTTGCTCACCATTAGCAAATATCCTATGAAAGACTGTTGGCAACAGAGCAGCCCGTAAGCGGGAAGTAAAACAAGATAGAAGTCAATGAGTTGATGAAACAGCAAGCACTCAACATCGATAGAGACAGCTAGGGCAGGATCCTGGCAAAACGTGGACAAGACCGAGAGCCTGGCCCTGCCTCCAGCCGCCTTTTAAAATAAATTTACATAAGGAACATGAGTGTTTCTAACTGAGAACCAGACTGGGCAAGGGAGACAAGACACCTGACCACCAGAGGACGGCTGACCCCGAGGCTGAGCAGCTGGAAACCTCCTGAGAGTGCTCTGCAGGCCCCTCGCACCCCGCCAGCAGATCACGACCTTTCCCTGCACCCCAGCAGCTTCTCCTGGGCATGGGTCTCGGCAGCAGAGCCCAGACTTACATATCTGGCCACAGTTTCATAGCAGGGTTAATACCAAGCGAGACTCAGTCTCCTGGCACCTTGGCCTGAAACTGGAAAGAGACTCTGGACAGACTGCAATTAAATATGGAATGAAGCCTAGAGGTCAGGTACGCTGAAGACAGGGGAGCGTATGCATCGGGAAACACCCAGCAGAGCACTAAGCCTCCCCTCCGCTCTGCACCAACACACTGCCATGTCTTGGGGCACAGGACGCACCGCAGGACACCCCAGCCTGGGACCTCTGCTCTGCTGGGGCACCCCAAGACCTGCCCAGAGGGATTTTTTTATTCAAACCCATCACCTCCTTCCACCCGTGGCTGGTTGTTACGCTCCCCATGAGGATGACCAGGACAGGCAGCAGCACGGCACACCCTGCCTGAGTCCCCTGCCCTCCGCAGCCCCCTGCCCAGGGCTGCAGCGCAGCACCCTGCCGCCGCAGCACCCTGCAGCCCCCCCGCCCCAAGGCTGCCTCTCGGCCGCGTTGCCTGTGGATCCTGGGGAAGAGGACGCAGGAAACCACCTGGACCTCTCACAAGGAACGTTTCCATCTGACCAGAAAGCAGCTGCAACATTCCAGTCTCTGGGAACACCCATGGCCAGTTTAAGAGCTGTGGGTGTCTGTCCTGTTCTCACCACGAGTTCTCCAAAGCTCCCCACCCGTTTGACACTTTTCCTCCTTAAATCTATCAACCCTGTACTTTATGGCACTGAAAAAAAAAAAGTTAGCACATTATGGATGGCTTTTGCTTTTAAGCAGAATGAGAAATCCTCCCTCTTTCCCACCTCCTTTTTCTTCCACAGATGGCCCCCAACATATAAAGATTTCATCCCTCCAAAACCCAATACAATAGTAACAGCAACACCCTTCTATTGAACTGATCTCTTTTTCTCCTGCAGTGCACAGGCAGCTCTAAGGAAAAAAAAGGATTGATCCAGAATTACACACAGAACAAGAAAAGCAGCAGTCTGCCCTGCCAATGCACGTGCCTCTGCAGCCTGCGGCAGCAGCACAGAGTGCCAGGGGAAAGGGCTGCTCCCCCCTGCCCGGCTGGGACAGGCACCAGCTGCCTCCGATGCCACACAAGTCACAGGCACTGCTCTTCTAGTGCTTCCTCACCCGGCAGACAGAAGGATGTTCTGCAGAACACACTAGCAGCTTCCTTCCCCCAGATTTTCGCCCCACATTCAGCAAGCATTCTCTTTTGCTTAAACAGAGGGAAGAGGAGCTTTCAGGAGTGTAGTCCAGAGTGGTGCTGGGGGCAGACAGTATCAAAGAGCAGGTCGTATGCACTGACTCACTGCTCCCCTTAAATCCACAAGAATTACTGCCTTGCTGCTTTCGAGTAAAAACAGGAAACTTTTCGGATACCAGCCAGTTGTAAGAAATAACTGCATGAGCAATAAACGTGGGCCTAATGTTGTCAGAGACGCCGACGTGGCTGCGGGCTGCGGCTGCTGCAGCAGCAGTGCCAGAGGGTCTCCAGCCCGAACACAGCCGCCCGCTCTGATGACATCCTTCTGACTTCCCCAGGGATGGGACTGCAGGAGTAAGAACACATTCTGCAACACTGGCAACTTTAACTCCAGCCTGCCCTGCAGCCACAGCTTTCACTTCTGGAGGATTCCTCTTCTGACCACAAGCCCACTCGCGCTCTCTTCTTTTTTTCTTTAAGGAAGGACCAGAATCTCCCAGATAAATCACTTCTGAGTACAAGGAGAGCCAGACAGCCTACAGCTGCAGAGCAGAAGAAAGTTTGCTCATTAACAAGTGCAATTAAGCACTGCTCCTGCACGGCCACGCTCCCAGCACGCGTCCTCCTCCTGCTGAGGGCCGAGCTGTTACAGCACAGCCACCCGCTCCTCTCGGAGTGCACCAGTCCAGCTGCCTCCCTCCCTCCCACCGCACCAACAGACTCACAGCTCTCTGGAACTGGAGGGAGCTGGCCAAGCTCTAACCCTGCAGAGGTCACTGTTGGCGACCCACAAGCAAAGAGCCACCTTTCTTCAGACAGCCCCTGAAGGGCACCGCTGGGAGCCTGAATGCCCTCGAGTGTCGCGTTTGCTGATCTGCAGAACCTCCAGACACCAACTTCAAGTGGGTTGTTTGTTTGTTTGTTTTTACAAAGTGCTGGCTACCAAGCAGAAGGATTGCAGCTGTATAACACTTTTAAACTAAACCAGAAAGAGAAGGATCTCTTGTGGGCTCGAGTCTACAACAGACTTCCCATGAGCAGCCTGAATCAAACACCTGGGAGCTGCTTGTGTTTGCCAGCAGAGGGCTATCAGATGTACACAACTCTTGGAAATTTTGCCCACCTGGGCAAAGTCAGGGAAAGAGCATAAAGCAAACCCCATGATGTCATCAGCCTGTAGGAAGAGCAAATCACCAGGTTTACACGCAGAGAGAGAACTGGGTGCTCCTTCTGCCATGACACAGCCTCCCTGGGTACAAGGTGTGTCAGAGGTTTGTTACCTCTGAGGAACAAAGACCCCAATTCCGGAACAAAGAGGCAACACAGGAGTTCTGCGATGGAAAGCCACAGGTCTGTGGTTAAGGAAAGGGCTATTTATAGGTGACAGGTGAAGCAGAGCATTCCTTCCTGTGCACTGTCAACTTCAAACCAAGAACTCACACAGACAAAAGCCTCCAGGAAAAGCAAGTGCATGCTCCTCAGGCCTGAGAATACTTGCAGAAGTTGGACAGCAGAGAGCAGAGATGTCACTGGACAGGTTATGCCAAGGTACAAGATAAGGCATCCTGATGGCAGACAGATTCGGAGACACGAAGGTATAGCAAAGGTGAAAAAAAAAAGAGTCTGCAAGGATGCACTGCACTGCCAGAAAAATCACTTTTCTTATGAAACAGAACATTTCAGCATAGGGTAGCTGCCTGAACAGGGCACAGCATTGCCAAACAGGCCCAAGGCAAAGTGAAGTCCAGGCCAAAGCGAGTGATGCTGGATGAGGACACCAAGACAGCAGGTTCCTGCAGCCAGAGTCCAAGATTGATTATAAATGTTGCTGCCACAAGCAGCACTCACGAGGCCTCAGTGGACACAGCTCTCAGCTTCACAACACGGGGAGGAGAACTCTGTGTGCATTAACACGAAAAAGACTGCAGAGCAGATGAATCCGAGGATAACATGCGTACAAAACCTGAAAGTTTCAGCACTGTTTCTTGGGTCAGTCCCTTTAGATCAAAAACTGAGGAAGGGGTCAACAAGGGGAACCATACCCAGACCCAGTCCCTCTGCGCCTGACGGTGGTGCAGCCAGGAGTGAATTCTACTACCAAGCTCTGGTACAGCTGATGTGGAGGTGGAGGAAGGGGTGTACAGACATGCCTATTGTGCCAGATAACCCCGAAACAATGGGATGTCTTTTTCGTTTGAGCTGTTTGTCTCCTAGGCAAGGGTCACCTCCAACAAACCTTACCTGACCCAATTTTGATCAGTCCGTTGTGCTGAATGAAGATGGTGTCGCAGGTCAGGTTACCGTGGATGATTGGGGGATCACAGGAGTGGAGGTAGCTAGAGAGTCAGAGCAGAGTGCTGGTCAGGAGACTGCTGAGGCGCAGGCCAGGAGTCCCTCCCCTCACCCCTGCCCTGCCTGCAGCAACATCAGAAGAGATCAGGAGGGCAAAGGGCACAGGCCAGGGATTTACAGTAGCAGAGGGGTACAATTAAGTGACTGTACATCAGGTGAGGAGACAATCATGAAAATTAAGCAGTTGTCTCTAATAAACAATCTCCAGATGGGAGGGGGAGAAAGTTTTCTCTAGTCAGTTCCCAAGAAACCCAGGGGTAAAGAAACTACTTCAACCATCCCAATCCTGCTAGGTGGGTGTTAAAGGGGCTCCACTTTTATACCAAGAATATCAGAACCTTATCCTGGCCCTACTCGCAGGGCACCCCAGAGGCCCTCAGTGCTGCCCAGACGTGACTGGTCACGTTTTCCAACAGGCATAAGTAAAGCTTTTCAGCTCTGGGCTCCCAGGTACGTTTGAGGCTGCCTGGTTTTGTGCCTCCATCTGCTCGGTTTTCTGCTCGCAGCCAGCACACGTAAGGGCTGTCAGCTCCCCAAAGCCTCTCAGAACCCCAACCATTCACCAAGAGCTGCCTTCAGCCACATGGCAACAGAATCTTCTCTAAGGAGTGGGAGTCGTGCTCTGACACCTGGGTTATTGTTTTCCCCAAGGCTGCTATCAGCTACACACCAACTCTGGCTCAGGTCGAGAAGAGTCGTTAAAATCAAATAAAGCCCCCACATTCTGTTCAGCTGGGTTGCACTCAGATGGTGGCAGATGATCTGCATCATCAAGAAATTTATAGACCCATACACCCTTCTAACAATATCACACCACAGTAACTATGAACCCACTGCCTGGCTACAGGGCCGCAGCCTGCCACGACTACGAACATTTTCTGACTCCTCTCATGAGGGATTTGATTTCTCTGAGACTTCTTTGTAACCTTGGTCACTGTTAGATCCAGGTTACAAAGCTGGATACTCTCGAGAGCTCCAGAATGCTCAGCTCCCTCACTATCCTATCAATCCCAACTTTTCGGATCTAAAACCCACATTGCACCCATTTCTCTATTTTAGAGGCTTCAATATTGTCTAACTGGAGGCTCTGGGATTGTTACAGAAGTGCAGCTGACACTCTGCAGACTGTGACTGAGATAAGAATCAAGTTGGGTGACAAAGTGCTCTCCAGGCTCCACTCCAAGAAGCTTGCCCACGTTTGGCAGCACATGTGTTTACAGCTTTCAGTGTTCTAGCAAAAGGAGGCTATGCTTAGACAGAGCAGTGCATACCTGAGAGCAGAGAGGATCTGGGTACACCACCGCTTCCAGGCCTGCAGACACAGAGCAAAAAGGACAAAAGTCACTCAGGGAAGAGGAACAAATCCCTAGTTGTGAGATTCACAGCCTGTTCATACAGAGGGATACACATTCCACTCTACAGCATCTGAGCTTTTAACCCAGCATGGGCACGGAGGAAGTCAGAGCTCAGAGGATCAGTGCTCAGCTTACTCTCGTGCTCGGTTTCTATGTGTTTGGATGGGTCAAGAAACACAGCTCCCCTCCTGACTCCTCTCACACAGACACCCTCCCTCTCTCCCGTATGCACCACACGGACAGGGACGTGGCTGTCACACACAGGCGTGAAGCTGCCGAACTGCTGGCAACAAGGCAAACAGCAGAGAACGGCTGCCCAGGAGAACCCACAGCCAAAGCAGCTTACGGTAACAAAAAGGAATCGCAGCCACATGTTATCACCAGGTCGCCTCCTCATCACAATCCTCTGCTGAAAGAGCTTTCCAGATGCTCATGGCAACAAGTGAATATACAGGCACACACAGAAAAAAAGTGTTACCTTTTCATTCATCGTTTTGTGGTTTTTCTTTGTCTTCTTCAGGAACTGTTTCAAGCTCCCTGAAGACATATATTCAGTGATGAAGATCACCTGTGGGGGCAGAACAAGACATCAGCCCCTGCTCCACTACCACCCGCAGGACAGAGGGAGAGAAAACCCAAGAGAAGGATCACTTTACTTACCCTGGCCTTATTCTCCTTCACATCAGCCCAGTATTTGTGAAACTTCACAATGTTCAGATGTTCCAGCTGAATTAAGTTGTCAAACACCGCTTTAACTTTTTCCTTAACATCAGAAAGACAAAAACAGTTACATCAGAGAGCACATCAGCCCGTATCTCGCCTTCTTCTTGGGTCCTGTCTCCCCATAACAACATGGTACGCTGCAGGCTTCTGTGCTAAAGACAAAGAGCATCTGGTTTCACCCCACACTGCACCTTAGCTGAGCATGGTTTGATCACAGAGTTCATCCAGACAAGAGCCCAGGGAAGTAGCACAACAGTTCTCGCTCACCCTTCTGCCCAGGCCAGGCTACACCTGAGCAGCGCAGCTCTCCACGTCCAGCCAACAATCCAGACCAAAGGTCACCAATATCTATAATCCCACCCACATTTTGCTGGGAAATACATGGACTTACTTCCTGAAGCTTAAAGTTCTTCCGCTCAGAAAACTGAACCTCATTCCAAACCACTTCCACACCTTCCTCTGTATCCATGGCCAGGTAGGCACTGTCGATCCCTGGGACGTTGCGCTGATTCACCTGGGGGGAGGATGGACACAGAGGTGAGTTCTAAGCCAGCAAGACCAGATCATTACCATGCCTCCTTCAGTTAAGTATTCTGAACTTTCCTCATTAGCTTTCAATTAAATGAACGTTCTAAGACAGGACTGTGCACACACATTTCAGGGGTGGGACACACTCAAACCTGAGTATGCTGCCGGCCACGCACACAGCGAGCCCTGGGTGTATTTGAAGGAAAACTGCACAAAGGCTGCAGTAAAATCTGCCTTTTGGCAACAGTACGTTAGATTTCTATGTTTTGTTACACCTGTAGTTCATTTAACCACAAAAAAAAATCTCCAACCATACAAAAGGGATACAAAAAAGTCTCCAGAACTCAGATAACTTTCTGGAGGAATTCTCTGAAAGCTGAGGAGACACAAAACTCAAGAGAGGAAACTGATCCAAGCAGAGAGAAACAAAGGGAAAGCTGTGAGTTGGGAAGAGACCGAGGAACTGATTACACATCTGAAGCTGCTACAATAGTTTCTTCAGTTAATAAATGCAAATGTTAACCCAGCACAAATACACCCACAGCTCATACTGAAGGCACAGACGAGCCCTGGGCAAGGAACGCCGTCATGGAGGAGTGCCCGAGCGAGAGCCACGCTAGGCTGGGCAAGGGCTTCAGCCTGGAAGACCCGCACAGACACCAGGGGAACACCACTCCTGGCAGCAAAGTTTACCACAACGCTGGTTTTCCTCAGGTACGTAGCAGCATCCCAAGCTGTGTACGGGCTCCTTCCCCAGCACCCAGAGCGTCCTGCTGCCCTGCAATGCCATGTACCGGCTACTTCTGACACACAGAGCTTGGGCTCATGGTTACAGTCCCACTGCACCGGGCAACATGCAGTGATGAAGCTGGATTCCCATCTCAAAGTACTCAGAGGAGACAGAGGGTGGAATTTACCTTTTAAGTGCCAGCTGTCAACCATGACTATCCACCACTGACTGGCCCCGTACCCAGAACCGCTTCACCTTCAGCTGATCCAATTCTCCCCTTGAGGTAAAAGCTAACAGAGACTTGGTGAGCAAATCCAGACTCATCTTCCAATCGTACGATCTCGAAGTCCTGGCCATTTCACAGCTTCTCCTGCTCAGTGTCTCACCCTCTCTTCCCTCACTAGGGACCCCATCCACGCCCCGTTCGCTGGACACTCCTCACCACACATAAATCCCTTCCCCCTCGGCAGCCACGCTTACACGGCCAAATTTATTCCACTTCGGCTACAGTGTTTGTTAATGAGAACCCATGCAAATGTTCTGCCACCCACAACAAATAAATGAGTTAAACACTAGAGGAAATAACTACTGGCAGCACAACACTAACTAAAGGAAACAACTAAGAGAAAGAAACCAGCTTCTGATGGGCAGTGCTTAACTCTGGTGGACTGGGTACAGACCCACAGCACCCAGCTGACCACACTGTATGTGAAACACCTAATGTTTGTATTTATAAAGAACCTCTGCTGCAGGGGGTGGGTACCAAGGAGAACACGCAGGTCACAGTAACAATCAGCTAAACTCGAGCTCCTAAACAACGTATAATGACAAGGACTGACCCAGCGACAGGACCCGTACAAGAAAGGCTGTGAGCAGAGAGGGGAGTCCACTGAGGTGGTAAGTTCACTGTTGTAGAATATCGCCTTTAGAAGTCTGCATTACAAACACCTGTTCATTGGGTCCAAACTGGGAGGTGCTGTTGACCCTCTCGAGGGCCAAGATGCCTTGCTGAAGGATGCAGATAGATGGGAGCGTCGGGCATGAGAGGGAACAGGAACAAATGCTGGGGTCTGCCCCGGGACCCGGGCAGGTCCGCGCCGGGCAGGAGGGAGCGTTTCTGTGCCCAGAGTGTGGTCAGAGCCCGGGACAGGCTCCTGGGGAGGGGGTCGGTGTTGGAGGGGCTTGGATGGTGCCCTTAGCACCACGCCTGAGGGGCTGGGCGGTCCCTGCAGGGCCCTTCCCGCTGAACTTGCCTAGATTCTATTGTACTGCATCAGTAGCTCGACAGCTTCGACTGACAGCCAATCGGTACAGCTGGCATTCTTTTTTATGATCTTCCAAGGGAATCCTAACAGGCTCAATGACATCCAATATTCTAAAATGGCAGATGACACACTGGAGTGACAAACGACTACAAGAACAGTGATGCAGACACAGTAAGTGATACAGCTTGCTCAGTAAACTGAGCAGTAAATTACTGTGATAAAACCAGATGCAATGGGGTGACGGGTAGGAATAAAGACTATAGGCCATAATTACATAAAGACAGCCTGAGCTCAGGAAACAGCTATGGAAAACAATCACAGGAGACAAGCAGCTTCACGTGAACAATTCCATTCTCTTCCCGCATAACTGAGAGGTGAAAGGGCTGAGATTTGATGTAAGACTACATTCATCATATTTATCGTAAGAACTTGATTTGAGAGAGACACACTGATACTGACATCTAAATACCATGTCAGGCTTGTTTTGTTTCATCATAAAAAAAGCTGAAAGAATGAACATAATTAAAAGGACAGAACATTTATTCCTTCATGTTTTAGTCTAAGTATCATCTTAGGAATGACAGTACTATAAGAATGCCCAGTACAACTGATAAAGCTGAATGCCAAAAGGCTTTCACTTAAGAAAAGTCTGAAGAAGCCCCCAGCGGAGGGAAAGGCAGGTGTGTGTTAGCACTGCAGGGACAAAAGCCGTGACCACCAACACCCCGTGCCCACACATCCCTCGGTACTCTCTTCCTTCGTCATGCTTGCTGCCTATTCAAAGACCTTCTGGCTTTACTGGATTAATTAAGTCCTCGAGTACTGCCAACTACTCAAAATCTGCCCTGATAGTACAGCCAGTGGATGTGGATTTGTCATATCTTCTCCCATTTCCGGGCAAGTTTACTCAACGTAAATCATTTCCATGACTCACAGGCAATTTGCAGGGCACTAGATATGACTCAAGACACCAAACCCATCTGACATCAGTGATGGTAACTCTCAGCTCAAGAGGAGATTCAAACGCTTGGGCAGAAGAATAAAAAGGGAAAAATGCAGACAGACAACTGAAAAGTGGTCAGCAATGCCTCCTTTGTTCAGGGTGCCAAAGCACTGCCCCCAGCCCTCTCCAGGCTGGCAGAGCAGGACCCTCTATCCCAGGAGAGCGCTGCGGGTGCCTGCGAGCTCTGCCACCCCATTCAGAACCAGTGTGGCACTTCTCACCACTGTAAACAGAGGCAGTTGGACAAATAGAAATTTCAGCTTTTCCACAAACCTGAGCAGGAGGAAATAAAAAAGGCCCGTTGGTCAGGCTGCCTTGGCCTGCCCTGGCGAGCAGGGAGCACAGGCAGCCCCTGCCCTGGAGAGACAACAGAAACACTGCTCTCGCCCCAGGAGCGCTCCCCACCCGGGACCAGGCAGGGTGAAGATGAGGCAGGGTCTCCCCTCACTTTGCCCTAAATTCCTGCAAGCTCTGTCCAGTGATTTAAGTCTGACTCGTTTAACTTGTTTAATTTTCAGTGGTCTTTTGTGACCCAGACCCAAGCGGCCCATGAACTGTGCCGATGAAATGACGGAAGACTGGCCCAGATAAAATGCCCTGTGCTCCTAGAGACACTGTATCATCCAGAGCGTTTCCTTCCCAGGCAAACCCATGTAGACTAGGTAACTTTTAAACTAGGAAAGAAGTTAAATGAATGCAGTTTAGTTTGAATTTCTGAAGTACGACAGAGGAAACAGTTCCACACCACAAAAGAGTTACAGCAGAAATACTAATGTAGCTCTTTGTCCATATAAACAAGAGGTAAGGAAACTCAAGAATAATTTCAAGTGAATTTAATTACCTAAAAGGGAATGAGAAAAAGAGATTTAAATGCTGTTACTCCAAGGCATAACTTAGCTCTAAGGGAAAAAGTTTGGAAGATATAATTCCCTTAGGCAGGTTATTCCAATTGTCCAATGCTGATTTTTCACATAGCCCTCAAACATCTGGATATCTCTCCCTGACAGAACACAGACTTTTGGAAAGATGCTCTGTACTTAACATGATCTGTCAATTAAAAAAAAAAAAACAAAACCAAAAGAATGGCCTAAGTTATAGGCAACAGTGATGATTTACACTAAAGCAAAGAAAGAATAAAAATTGGAAAAACACCACATTAATTAGAATATCAGTACAGAATGAAAATGCACATTGAATTAAAAAATCAGGAATGGAGCACATTAGGACAGACACTTACAAAAAAACATGTATCTGGTTAAGAGTAGCACAAATATGTTAAAATGTTACCCCTGGCCACTTGTTTAGGCCAAAGATCAAAGCTCTGTTCAACCAGCTCGGCAAGAGAACAGAGGTAATACATCTACAGAAGGCAGCAGCTGGACCACAGAGGAACATAACTGAACTGTGCTGAAACAAAAACTAGAGTATTTACCAACAGAAAGAGGAAACAGAAGCAGCTGTGTCAGATTTTAAGCTAATCTGGAGCCTAACAAAAATCAAAGAATGCAAGATACACTGCAGGCAAAGGGGGGAAAAAAATCTAACAAAATAAAGCAGCAAGCCTACTTCATGTTTTATAATTAAACTGACTTTACAATTACATTCAGAGTAGTAAAATGCTTGAAAGGTGTTAATTCAAAAAGAAGATTAAAATAACTGTTGTAATCTAGCAATCTCAAGGAAAGGAATGGCTGTACAAACCAATTCATACAGCAGTCGAAAGGATAAGAAAATGTGACCATCACCAATCACCGTTGGGTCTCCGTGCTGGACCAAGTAGTAAGATACAATAGGTTAGCAATGAGCCTGTCTCTGTAACCAAACCAACTCATCTTGACCATTTCAATACTGAACTAAAAGGCTTCCCTGGGCTGGAGCGTGCCCTCACTTGTCATTTCACACCAACAGCTCCGGAGGTGCCACCTCGAGAACCAAGCCAGCACCAGCTGCACTTTGTGAACGACCCCGCGCCCTCCGAGACCCCGACACGAAGCCAGGGCAGCCCGGGGAGCGCCGTGTCACCCTGCCAGCAAGAGCGGCCGCCGTTCTGCAGAAAAGCAGTGGGTTTTCAGTCACCGTCACGCAGCCCAGCGGCCAGTCCAGCCTCTCCAAAAGCATTCTGACAGGTCTGGCTACACAGCGTACTGAGGGACAGGCTGAGAATTCACGGCAGGTAACTGCAGCCAGCAGATCAGCAACTGAAACAACAAAAAACTCTGGCGAGAGTCAAGCGGCTTTGAACAGAAAAAGCACCGCTGCTGACAGCCCACGGGGAGAGGCGCATCGTTCCGTCCATTCCGTGGGTAACAGAAACAAGCACGTAAGCTGACTGCTGGGAGCCCAAAGGGACCAACGCTTGGTTTCACCTGGTGCTTCAGAACAAACGAGCACTCCAGCAGAGTCAAAGAGTTCAGTCTTCCTGAGCTGAACTCTGGAAGCAGGAGGATGAATTCCCCATCCCCAACTCCCAAAGAGGAACAGAAACAGTACAGCAAAATAAATAAGGGAGTGGGAAGAAAACCCAATATCCTACGAACAGAACCCACTCAGACAGAAGTTCCTCGGGAAGGTTGGGAACTCACCAGTACCTCTGTATTTACCGCACTTATCACCCCTGCACCGTCACCAAGACCCTCATCAAACATACGACACCAAGGACGAACCACAGAGCGCTCATGGCCCCCAGAAACAAAACTGACTGGGAGTTCTCAGCACTGAGCCCAGGGGGAGTAAACTCAGGTGAGTGCCAGTAATGCAAAACACCATGGAGAGGGGAAAAAAAACAGACAGGATAAACTCCAAGTTAGCTACTGTCATTCTGCACTAGTCCATTCTGTTAGTCTGGGATACTTCCAGTTGTTAGAGAGATCTTCAAATCACTGCAGATAACTCTGGAAAACATCCCCTAGTCAGGAGGTGTTAGAAGTTCAGTATTAGGAATTATGAGGAAAGGGACAGAAAATGCCATAAACACTGCTGTAGTGCTGTAAGTAGAAATCTTGAATAGGCTTGTAAAAATCACTCGTGACACACAGAACACAAATAGAAAGTAATTA